ATTGGAGCCCTGGGTTTTCAGGCACTGGTAGAGGTGGGCTTCCTGAGGGGCACCTCTTCCTTGGCTTACGGAGTAAGAGCAAGGCATGATGGGGCCCGTGAGGCAGCTAGTTGGTTGAGAAGAGGACTCAGACACTCCTCGTGTCCTCAAAGTTCACTTTTTTCCCAGGGACCTTGAGAGGAGATGCCCCCAAGGCACGTGGCCCCAGCCGAGAGCCTGCAGGAGGGCAGCAGCTGCCCCCTTCCCAGCTGCTACCAAGAAGGCCTGGATCCCCTGGGCGCTGAAAGGAGGCCTGCCCTCAGCGGAGCATCCTGTCCCATGGGGTCCTCTGCATGTCTGCCTTCAGCCCTGTCCAGAACCCTCCTGCCCACTCTCCTGACCCAGGGAGAAGAGAGGGCCCAGCTGCAGACGGTGCTGCCTAGGGACACAGTAGCAGCTGATACCGCCCCTAACGACGATGTTGAAAATTCTTCAAGTGTGAGTACTTACTTTGCTGACCTAGTTGAGCGCTGCTGAGCTGGTGTCATCGCCACCTTTCCCCTGAGGAGGAACAGAGGAACCTGGAGACTTTCGATGGCCTGTTTCTCGCTCACTTTCCCCACAACAGATGCTAAGTAGAACGTTGTTGGGACAGTCATGCCCAACGGAAGGCAGTGATGAGGGTGTCACTCGGACCCCTGATGTGATGGCACTCCAAGATAGACAAAGGGTGGACCTTGAAACACATCTTTCTCCTAAGATGTCCCAGATGGATTCATTCTTAGTTTGAAAAAGGGCTTGAGTGGCATTTGTGACTTGTTTTGGTGACTGGATCCGTGTGTGGGAGTTGGAAAGGCCCCAGACTGGAAGGTGACTGATTAACCAGCTGTTTGGCCTTGGGGGAGGGGCTGAGTGTGCAAACGGCCCTGGTCTCGAGGGGCCACGTTAGCTGGGCCTGGGCACTGGGCAGCATTCCCTTCAAGGGGCTTCTCAGCCTTTACTTAGGAGGGTTAATTGCAGGGTGTTTCTTGAGTGCTTGTCTTACTCCGCCCTTGGGGGGCAGAAAGGAGTAGAATTCTTAAACTCAATCAATATAGAACAAAGAAACTTGGAGGAGTTTTGTTTTTTTAGGTGTAGATCTTACGCTGCTTGGTTTTAGGGGTTTTTTTTAGACCTGGTTTTGAAAGGAATATTTCAAGAAGTAATGTTGGTTATTTATTTAACAGGAGTTTTTGTACCTAAGTGGCAGAGGCTTAGTTGGAATATTTTTTTGGTGAACCGGATATTTCCTTACCCCACAGTATTTAGGAATCAATTCTCCCCCTGGGTGGTCGTGTTGGGAGTTGGGTTTTTGGTATAAGCCTTTGTAGATCTCTGATTTAAATCCAAATACTTTATCAGTTTTTATTTTTAAAGTAAATACCTTAATGTGATGTTTTATAGGCAAACATTCAAGGCTACCTTGGTTTAAGTACTGCTTAGCTTTAAGAACTTTAGGATTTCTGGTGCAAGAAAAGTACTTGAAAGGTCATCACCATGGTTCTGTTAGATGTTAAAAAGTCCTGTGTGCCGAGCACTGTGCATGACAGTCATTTGCGTTCGAGGGATATTTTCATTTCTATTATTGCTTTTGCCTTGGCAGAAGGTGACATCAGAGCAGGGTCCCATGCCCCCACCTGGCAGGTGCTGATAGGTGATGTCTGAATTTACATGAACCCCTTGTCTTTATATTAACAGCAGTTTAATCGTTATATAGTGTAGGCTTTTCGTCTGGCTCAGGGCTGACATTCTGATGTCCCATTTGAATTGGACTTAAAAAAGCCCCACAAAACTGTGGTCCCTGGGCTTACATATCAAAGGCTTTACTGTTTCTATTTTTAGGTCCCAGCCCTTGAAACTTTACCTTTTCTAGTGAAGGTGTGAAGAGTTCAACCCTTTTGGGGTCCCAGTAGCGGCAGAGGGAATTCCTAACAAGATAGCCTTAAGTGATCTTTTCCCAGCCAACCCTTTTTCTTTCTTTTAAAATAAATTGGCTTTTAATTACACATGTAATATATAAATATGTTCTCCTTGGAAAAACTTAAACACTGCAGATAGATCATAAATCTTTTATTTTCTCCAAATGATCCTTATTCCAGCCAACTTGCTAAATGCTCTAGTTCTAATAGTTGATTATTTGATTCTCTTGCTTTTTTTTTTTTTTTTTTTTTTTTTTTTTTGTTT